ACAAGCTCCCTATACACCCGCAAATAGACCCCACAAGCCCCCTATACACCCGATTATAGCTCCAAATACACTCTAGAAGCTCCCTATACACCCGAAAACAGCTCTAAATACACTCTAGAAGGTCCCTATACACCCGAAAATAGCTCTAAATACACTCTAGAAGGTCCCTATACACCCGAAAAGAAGTCCCTATACACCCGAAGATAGTTCTTTTTGTACTCTAGAAGGTCCATATACACCCTAAGTAGCTCTACATACACTTCAAGAGGTCCCTATACACCTGAAAACAGCTCTAAATACACCCCAAAAGGTCCCTATACACCTCAGCGCAGCTGTACGTACACCCCAGGAGGTCCCTATACACCCCAGCGAACAGCTTCTGCATCTTCTCGTCAAAAAGTGAAAAATAAATTCAAGTAAATTCTAAAAAAGAAAAATATAGAAGTGAAGAGTTGAAGTTTCGCAGTTGCAGCAGCAGCAAGCGGCATCTTTGGAGTGTACGTACACCTGAACTAGCCCGCGGGATGGGAAGAAACGATAAAAAAGCCTTATCTAGAAATTACATTAATTAATTAATTAATTAATTAATATTTATTTATTTATTTATTTATTCACTTATTTGACTCACCCATAAGACAGAATGAAGAGCCAAAGACCAAAGAAAAACAGGAGGCAAAGAAACGGTCGTGGAGAGGAGCAGCAGCAGCAGCAGCAGCAGCTGAGCAGCAGCAGCAGCAGCGGCAGCAAAAGGCGTCAAAAGAAAGAGACAAATGGGAATAAAAGAAAGACAGCTGAATTAAAAAGAAGCAGCAAATGCAAAAGGACTAAGTGCGAAGGAGCAGCAAAAGAAGAGATAAATGAGCAGCAAATTAATAAAATGAAATAAAAATAAAATGAATTTAAAAGAATAAAAACAAACAAAAGGAATAAAATGGATTAAAAAGGAAATACAAATAAAAACGGAATAAAATGGATTAAAAGGGGAATAGAAATATACAAAAGAAGTTAAAATAATTGAAATGAATTAAGAATAAAATAAAACAACCAAGAGGAATAAAATGAATTAAAAAGGAAATAAAAACAAACAAAAAGAATTAAATGAACTAAAATGAATTTAAAAGAAAATAATGAATTAAAATGAATTAAAGAGAAATTAAAAACAAGCAAAAGGAATAAAATGAATTAAAATAAATTAAACAGAAACACAAAAAATAAAATGAAATAAAATGAAATGAAATGGAATAAAAGGAAATAAAAACCAACAAAACTCACAAAGTGGCCGAGAGAAATAAAAACCAACAACAACTTCTTCAAAAAAAAAGAAAAAGACCAGCAGCAGCGCCGACCCGAAAGTCCCATTTTAAAAACTTTTAAAAAACGCTCAAACAAAAAACAACAAAACAAAACCTGCAGCGCCACCCACCCTCTGGTGTACGTACGCCCCAGCAGCAGCAGCAGCAGCAGCAGCGGCAGAAATGCAGCAGCAGCAACAGCAGCAGCAGCAGCAGCAGGGAAGCAGATGTGTGGAGGACAGGGGTTGAAAGCTAGGGTGAGGGAAAGGCTGCTGGCAGCAGCAAAGGAGGGTAAGGGGACTTGGAAGAAAGGGAATTAGAATTACAATTCAAAAGAACAAAAAGTGGGAAGTCCATCGGCAACTCCCAGTTCCTGCGAAGCAGCAGCAGACACGCGGTGTACGTACACCGCGCGGCGCCGCGCCCAACGAGCCGCGGCCACTCTGATCAAAGCTGGAAAGGGAAAATGGGGGAAATGCAAATTTAATTCGAATAAACCACTCACGCCCGCCTCCCCGCAAAAAAAAGAAGAAAACTTGTCCATTTAAAGCAAAAAAAATGAAGTGAGAAGGCCAAAATGTTGAAAATCTGAACTTGAATCGACGGCTGGCGTCAGAGGTGTCTGTACACCGCAGATTCCCGCGGCTCCATCTTCGTTTTTCCCCCCGAAAAAGACAAAGACAAGTTTTTCAGAGTTTTAAAATATAATTTGCAAATGGAATTGCATTTAAATGGTCCTTTTCCTCTTTTTTCCGCAGAAAGAAACTCCCGAGAGCCCTAGCACCTCCCTGTGGACCGGGCCGCCGTCACGTCTGCATTCGGCGGGAAAGCCGCGGCGAAAGCCAGAAAATAAGAATAAAAGAACTGCTATTTTGTCTGTTTTGGTTTTTAATTCGAAATAATTCAATTAAAACGCAAAATTCAAACAAAAGTCCCCGCCGGTGATCCTGCGCCTCAACTGCCGTCTTGCACGGCGGCGCGCAGCTCTTCAGGTGTACAGACAGCTGCTGCTGCGCACAGCATTTATTCTTTTCTCATTTCCACCACTTTTTATCATTCTTTATTCCCAAACAAACTTCATCTATTATTCCAAGACTTCCTCCTCGCTAGGGGCCCCCTGAGGCCCCTCGAGGCCCCCCACGGGCCCCTCCAGTACCCCCCAGGGGCCCCCAGAGGCCCCTCTGGGGGCCCCCAGGGGCCCCTTAGCGGCCCGCCTTGGGGGCCCCCGTGTCTAGTTTTTGGATTGTGCACATGATTTATTTGCTTTTAAGATTCTTTGGTGCTTTTAATACTTTTTAACTTCTTCTAATTTATATTTAGGCATTTTGAGTTCTTTTTGATTCTTTTGGTCTTTTAAAATCTGTTTTATCTTTCACTACAAACCAGGTGTCTGTACACCTGAAAACCGCCGTCTGCAAAGCAGCGAAATTTTCGGTGAAAAGTTCATTTCAAATAAAAACATTATCTTTCATTGAGTCTTTTATAATATTTAATTAAAATTAAATATTTTTCTCTTTTCAAAATTTCAAATTAATTTAACCTATCCAAAAAAAATCTTTTTCTTCTTTCTGAAACTCCTTGGCCAGCAGCAGCAAACGCCGCGCAGCAGCAGCAAACTGCTGCGCGAAGTTTCTGGTCAAAATAAAATCCTTTAGGATTAACATGCCTTTCTTTCAACTGCAAAATGTGCTTTTTGCATGCATGCTTGCATGCATGCGTGCATGCATGCATGCATGCATGCACGCAAAAATCCTTGTTTGCTGCCCACCGTCGGCCGCAGCTGCAGCGGCAGCAGCAGCTGCTGCTGCTGCTGCAGCGGAGGCAGCTGATGCTGTGGCTACGGCTGGTGCTGCTGCGGCGGAGACGCGGGCGACACCCGCCGCTGCAGCTGCTGCTGCAGCAGCAGCTGCTGCTGCTTCTAGTGCTGTATCTACTGCAGCTAGCAGCACTTCGGCAGCGGCAGCTGCTGCTGCTGCAGCCGCTGTAGCCGCTGCTGCTGCTGCAGCCGCAGCAGCACAAGGAGCTTCGACAAGCACAGGAGGCCAATAGTGGCTATATAGGGATTGCACTTGTTGGCTACGCAGCAGCAGCAGCCGCAGCAGCAGTAGCAGCAGCAGCGACTGCCGCTGCAGCAACAGCACCAGCAATAGCTTTTGAAAGGCTTTTGCTTTTAATTCTTTTTAGTTTTAGTTTGCCATTATTTCTCTTAATCCTCTTTTTACCTTTTTATCCTAAAGTCTGCAGAGGGTTCAAAAGCTTTAGGGTTTAGGGTTTAGGGTTTAGGGTCTCCGAAACCCACAGTGGGCTTCAGCACGCAACAGCCGCACCAGAAGCAGCAATAGCAGCAGCAGCAGCAGCAGCAGCAGCAACAGGGGACCCTTTTGCTGCTTCCTGGGGGTCTTCAAAGCAAAATAAAAGAGGTTTATGATACTTGCATTGTGAAATGTGCGCTGCATATAAACCCTAGTTGAGGGTTTTAAAGTAAAACCCTTAATTAGGGTTTGTGTACAGCTCACATTACAGTTTTTAGATTCCAAAGTTAGTTTGGCTGAATTTGTTCCACGGATCTAGGGCCAAGGGGTCTGAGATTAGGGTTTGGAGTTTAGGGTTTTGGGTTTGGGGTTTAGGCTTTAGGGTTTAGGGTTCAGGGTTTAGGGTTTTAGCTTGAGGGCGTTGTGTTGGGGGCTTTCTGTATCTTCTTGTCCCAGGTTTATGGTATAGCTTTTAGTGTTTAGTGTTTACTGTACAGTGTTTACGGTTTAGGGTTCAGGCTTTAGGGTTAAGGGCTTAGGGTTTAGGGTTTAGGGTTTAGGGTTTGGGGTTTAGGGTTTAGGGTTTAGGGTTTAGGGTGTGTTTATATGTGGCAGGAGCCGCGTTGCTCGCGCATGCAAGTCGAGTAGCTGAAGAGGGAGCAAAGGGTTTCATTTTAAAGGACAAAAAGGAGAAAACAATTTAAATTTAATTTAAATAAATAAAATAAATAAAATAAATAAATAGATAAAATTAAATTCTAGAATAAATCAAAGCTTTTGTCTTGGGCGTTGCCAGCAGCCCACTACAGCTTCCTGGCGGGTTCTGGCTGGCGTTCAGATTTGCAGGTTTTTGAGGAATTTTTTCACTTTTTTGTGTTTAAAAGGATTTATTTGTTTTATTTTATTTATTCATTAGTTAATTTTATTTATTTATTTATTTTATTTCATTTTTTGTCTCATTTTCCGGGCCCCTTCTTCGCGTGGCTTCCGTCGGCTGCGGGGAAACGGAGTTCAGAAAAAGTCTTTTTCCCTTCTTTTTGCTCCTAAAAGTCTTTTATTTATTCCTTTTCCATTAAAAACCTTTTATTATTTAAATCTTTACATTTTTAATTCTTTATTCCCCTTTTTTTCGCCTTCAAACCCTCCATTTTTTCCGTTTTCATCACCTCCAACCGCCCTTGTTTGCTGCTCTTGAATTTTCCTTCTCTTTTCTGATTTCCGAGTCATTTTTTGCGGGAAATCTTCTCAAAAGCACTTTGCTTTCCTCCTTCTGTCTCAGAACATCTTTTCCTCCATTGTTCCCGACTTTAGGGCTCTCTTCCGTCAAAAATCTGCCACTTCCTGCCGCTGCTGCTGCTGCTGCTGCAGCAGCAGCGCCGCTCCAGCGCCGGCTCCTCCCCCGCCCTCGCCGCCACCCCAGCAGCAGCAGCAGCAGCAGCAGCAGCAGCAGCAGAGGATGGGCCGGATATCCCGCGACCGGCGGGACATTTACTACAGGCGGGCCAAAGAAGAAGGCTTTAGGGCTCGCTCTGCTTACAAGCTGCTGCAGCTGGATGACGAGTTGCACTTCTTGTCTCCGCCAAACTGCTGCTTCTCCAGCGGCTCCGAGGCCTCTTCCTCCGAAGACGAGCAGCAGCAGCAGCAGCAGCAGCAGCAGCAGCAGCAGCAGCAGCAGCAGCAGCAGCAGCAGCAGCAGGGGCGTTTCTGGGGGCCCGCTGCTTCTGTGTGGGACTACCCCCACAGGGCTGTGGACTTGTGCGCAGCGCCTGGCAGCTGGAGCCAAGTGCTGCGCCGCAGGCTGTGGCGAAACTACCAACTCAAAGTGCAGGAGTACAACAAGCTGCAGCAGCAGCAGCAGCAGCAGCAGCAGCAGCAGCAGCAGCAGCTGGTTCGCCCGGAGCCCCCGCTGATAGTGGCTGTGGACCTGCAGGAAATGAGTCCGCTGGAAGGAGTGGTTTGCATAAAGGGGGACATAACGCATGCAGCAACTCGTGCTGCAGTGCTTCGCTGCTTCCAGCAGCAAAGCACTGCAGCAGCAGCAGCTGCTGCTGCTTGCGGCTCGCACGCAGCAGCAGCTGCTGCTGCTTGCGAGCAGCAAGCAGCAGACTTGGTGGTGTGCGACGGGGCCCCCGACGTGACGGGGATGCGGGAGCTGGACGAGTGCATGCAGCAGCAGCTGCTGCTGGCAGCAGCAGCAACAGCAGCAGCGCTGCTGCGCCCCGGGGGGGCCCTCGTGGCCAAAGTCTTCAGGGCCGAACTGGGGCCCCTTCTTTGCATGCAGCTGGGGGCCCTCTTTGCTGAAGTTTGCTGCAGCAAACCTGCTGCTTCCCGCAGCAGCAGCAGCGAGGCTTTCCTCGTCTGCCGCGGCTTCCGCCCCACGCCCCCGCTGCACCCCCCCCTCCCCGCCCCACAGCAGCAGCAGCAGCAGCAGCAGC